CGCATAATTTGTTGGACTTTTTGAATGATAATACATTTTACGTCGATCTGAATCATAAGGTTCAGGATTTGCAATGAAAGTCGAATCAACTATTAATTTATGATGTTGTTCAGGTCCATGTGGTGTTCGTTTACTAGCCATATTAACAGGTAATGAAATTAATTCTGGATACACACATGCATGCAAAATATTAATGACCTCTGTTAAGAAATAATTACTGTTGATCGACCCAAATTTAATTCCGTAGAAATATACCGTTCAGAATGATAATGTTTTAAATACCATAATGTAGCCACAGGTAAATTAATAGGAGAAAGATATGGTATGATATTATCGTCTGCATGTTGCTCTTTTGTATGAGATCGATAACGTATAAGCGATTCTTCGCACATAGAATATAGTTGTTGTATTTGTTCAATATCATGTCCTGTATGTTGTATGCATGATTCATCAGTACGTTTCCATTCTGACCATGGACGTTGTTCTAAAGAAAGGAATTAGAGGTGTATATGTCAAGTGAGAAGACCGATCCTACTTACTATCATCCAAATTTTAAAATTGTTGTTGAACAGCAATTCGCTTCTCTTCCAATTCTTGTTGCCTTTCTTCTTCAAATTCTGGCGTACAATAATTACAACTATCGCGATGACGGTAGCAGTGAGTGTATAAACCTGATTTTCCCGAACCGACGCATGTCCAAGTCAACATTGAATCACAATCAGTACAATATTTTCGTCGATCGGCTACTGCTGATTGATATTCAGAACTAGGGCTGTACCGCTCACGCTCATTCTCAAGTGAGCGCTAATGAGCGATCGTGAGCGTGAGTGCTTTTTTTAAAGATTATCCTTAAAATGCAATCAGTTGAACTGCTTTAGACTAGGACTAAACAGACCACATTTATTAGCGCTTATTTGACCTCAGCGAGTGGTATTTGCTGAAAGTCGCTCATGAGCGTGAGCGTGAATTGTACACCCCTATTCAGAACAACTTCATTCAATTTGTGGTGAAAACATAATACAAAGATACAGAAGATATTTATGATCAAGTGAAAGCGTGTTAAGGGCAAATGAAAATGACTAAACGCGTGGAAAAAAATCACAGTCAATACGAGAGTAGTGTGATTATAGTAAAACTACGACAGAATGAACAAAATTTTGTCGTACGTAAAGTACACATCGAGAACGAGATATGGATTAACAAAGTGTAAAGTATGTCCTGGGCAATGGTTATATAAACATACCTCAAAACTCTCCTTTTTTAGTGTCATATAGACCTCAAACAATGATAGATAATTAGCACTATATATGTACTATATCTGGTAAAAATTTCATGATTTTCTCATAAGTGACTGAAGTTAAATGAATATATACATGTCGGGGTGTACCAACACGACTGGCCACGCCCATATGTATTCTCTCCTTTACCTTTTGTTATTTTTTAAACGTTCTCTTCTTCTGATATTGTTCAGAT